TAGGCACAATTCCCTAAATGCCTCCCAAAGCATCCCTACATGCTACCTCCCAGGTTCTCTGGTGGCTGCTCCAGGTTCCCCAGTAACCTCTATTATGTTATCTTCCCCCCGATATCAATACCAACCTGACCTTGTGAAATATCTCTTTTTCTTTTTTCAGCTATGACAATCATTAAAATCCAGCATGGAAATAAACTGAACACAGAATCAGGCCTTTGCATCACTATCACAAAATGTTAAACCAAGATTTTCAAAGATAATGTAGCATTTTCATCACATTTCTCTCACTAAAAATATCATTTTTAATCACATTTCAGTGAGAGCAAAAAAGGATTTCTTTAACCATTGCTAAATAAAATATTAGTTATAAAACATAATTTCATCCTTATCTCCTTTTAAATGTCTATTTTTAGAAAATCTCTATTTAAAAATTTTTATAATTTACATAATTATTATTATGGTTGTATATGCATATAATTTACAAATAAGCAAATACAAATATAAGTACATCTATGTATTCTAGTTTGAAATGCGTGTTCAATTTTTTTTTTTGGCAAAGCAATTGGGGTTAAGTGACTTGCCCAGGGTCACACAACTAGTAAGTGTCAAGTGTTTGGTCTGAGACCAGATTTGAACTCAAGTCCTCTTGACTCTAAGGCTGGTGCTTTATCCACTGCACCACCTAACTGCCCCCTCAAAATTTTTTTACTGATGGAATGATCAACAAAATTTGAGACTACTGTTCTAAAGATTCAGATTTAGAGAGGTGGCATGGCATAATAGAAAGAGCTCTGGAATTGAAATCAGAAGATAAAACCAAGCACTGCTACTTATTACCTATATGACCTTGGGTAAGTCACTTCCCCCTAGTTCTGTTTCTCCATCTGTAAAATGAGAGGGGTTGAGTAGATGGTCTTTACGCTTTGATCCTGTGAACTCTAATTACACTATGAAATAAATGATGTGCATAGTTTTTTGGACTGAATGTTTCATTGGCATAGGAAACTTCCATTGAGTAAATTCTCTGTACCAATGGGAGTTGGGAAGGAACACAGTGGTGTAGTTTAGAATATTTTCCACAATGACCATTTCCAAAACAACCACATTTTCCAAGGTCTCTAATATTATCTGAATGTTCGTCAGAACTCCTTAAAACCAATAGCTTCTCTTGCTCTTGTTTGCCTAAAACAGCTACCATTTATATAGCACTTTATGTTACTACTTTTAATTCTCTCAACAACCCTGTGAGGCAGGTGCTATTATTATCTCCATTTCACAGATTAAAAAAAACTGAGACAGGTTTTAAGTGACTTGTCCAGGGTCACTCACAAGCTAGTAAGCACCTAAGGCAGAACTTGAACTCAGGTCTTGCAGAAACCAAGTCCAGTACTCTATCCAGTGGCCACCTAGCTGCCCCTAAAGAAAGATTGTCTCCATGGACAGAAGGTGCGGCAAATTCAGGCTTAGAGTCTCTGTCCAGGGTGTTGATTGTATCTTCAGTCAGTCGGTCGTAGGTATTCCCTCAGGAGGAAAGAGCATCACTTTGCTTCCTTGCCATTGCCAGCACTCTCACCTCTTTGAGAACCAGCTGTGGGTCTTTCATAGAAAATGTCCTGTAGTCTCTGGAGTTACTACATTTGGAATTGAGAACTTCTCTCTCTGAGGACCTGATTTGTTGCAAATTGACTCCCTGCCCTCTCAAAATGATTTAATGTACTTAAAGTGCTTGCTTAAAACCCTCTAGAAATATGAGCTTTCTTCCTTGCATCTCACTGCCCCCTCATCCATCCACCCAACAACCCATGTCTTTTAGGGTCTTCAATTCTAATTATCTTTTCTACTCTGGATGGAATTTAAAATGGCTGTTTTCATATAGATGGGAAAACTGAGGCCCAGAAGAAAGAGTCTGGGACTGGTTTTGGGTCATACAGTAAATCTATAGGAGAGCTATGATTAGAAAGTTAGGCAAAATTATGAAGGAAATCAAATTCAATTTTGGTATCCCTGGTCCTTCATCTCTTTTTTTCTTTTAATTTTTATTCATAACTTTTTTTCTACATGAGACATTTCCAGTCATCCACCTCCACTGTAAGTATTCCTTAGTGACAGAGAAAAACAGTTAAAACCAACTGTAACAGGGACTTCATCTGACAACATGCAATGTTCTAGAGCCACAGTCCCCCACCTTCCTGATGAAAAGAGGATAGTGCCTTTCCTTATCACCTTGACTAGGCCAACATTGGGCATGATAATTATTACACAGTGCTCAGCTTTGTTGTGCTATCCTTTTCCTTTACATTATTGTCATGATTGTGTGTATTGTTTTCTTGGTTCTGATTACTTCACGTTGCATGAGTTCCTACAAGTCTTTAATCAATACATCAATAAGCATTTATTAAGCATCTACTATGTGCCAGAAACGATGCTAGGTACTGGGGATACAGAGCCAAAAATGAAATATTCCCTGCCCAAAGGAGCTTATATTCTATCAAGGGAAGCAACGTATATAGTGACAAGAGCATATAAAATATATATATAAGTATAAAGTAAATTCAAGGTAATTGTGGGAGGGGCTGGGGGGTCAAGAAAGGACTCATGTGGGAATTCAGTCATTAAATAAAAATATATTAAGTGTCTTCTATGTACCAGACACTATGCTATGTGCTAAGCATTGGGGTCACAAAGAAAGGTGAAAGGTAGTCCTTATTCTCAAGGAGCTCGTAATCTAATGAGGAGAAAATATGAAAACAATTATGTACAAACAAGGTGTATACAGGATACATTCGAGATAATCAATACAGGCAAAGAACTACCTTTAAGAGGGAACCTAGAAAGGCTTTCTATAGAAGGAAGTATTTTAGCTGGGACTTGACAGGAGACAGGGAAGCTAGGAGGTAGAGATGAGAAGGGAAATTACTTCAGGCATGGAGAACAGCCAGTCTGGAGATGGAGTATCTCCTTTGAGGAACAACAAAGAGGCCATGTCACTGGATCATAGGGTGTTGTTGTTGTTCAGTCGTGCCTAAGTTTTTGTGACCCCATTTGGGGTTTTCTTGGCAAAGATACTGGAGGGGTTTGCCATTTCCTCCTCCAGCTCATTTTACAGATGAGGAAACTGAGGCATGCAGGGTTCAGTGACTTACTCACAGTAAGTGTCTGAGGCCATATTTGAACTCAGAAAGAGGAGTCTTCTTGACTTCAGGCCCAGCGCTCTATCTACTGTGTCACTTAACTGCCTCAATCATAGGACACTTGAGGGGAATAAGGTGTAAGAAGAATGGAAAGGCAGGAGCAGGTTGTGAAGAGCTTTGAATATCAAACAGAGTGCTTTATGTTTGACCATTGAGGTGATAGGGAACCCCTGGAGTTATTGAGTAAGGTGAGTGACATGATTGTATCTGAGCTTTAGGAAGCTGAGCAAAGGAAGGGCTGGAGTAGGGAGAGACTTGAGGCAGGGACACCAACCAGCAGGCTATTATACTAGTCCTGGGGCGAAGCAATGAGGGCCTGCGTTGGGGTGGTGGATGTCAGAGGAGTGAAGGTAGCATATATGAGAGATGCTACAAAGGTAAAATCAACAGGCCTTGGCCATAGCTTGAATATGGAGGAGGGGAAAGAGAATGAGAAGTTGAAGATGACACCTGAGTTTTGAGCCTGGGTGACTTCTTATACCTTTGTCCCTATCATGTGATCTTTGATCCAACAACACTGACTTCCTGTCCCTCGAATAAGAAACACCAAGAGATGATGCCTGGAATGCTCTCCCTCCTCCACTCCTCCAACTAACTTCATTACTTCCTTTAAGTTCCAACTAAAATCCCATCTTTTACAGGAAACCTTTACCAACCCCTCTTAATTCTGGTGTCTTCCTTCTGCTAATTATTTCCTATTTATTCTGTATATGGCTTGTTTTGCATATAATCTATTTATATTTGCATATTGTCTCTTTCATTAGATTGTAAACTCCTTGAGGGTAGGGATTATCTTTTGCCTCTTTTTGTATTCCCAGTGCTTATCACAGTACCTGACACATAGTAGGTGCTTAATAAAATGTTCATTGATTGATTGACTAAGAAGATAGTGGTACCCTTGACAATAAGGAATTTCAGAAGTGGGGAGAGTTTGGAGGGAAAGATAATAAGTTCATTCTTGGACATAATGAGTTTAAGATGTCTATGAGACATCCGGTTTGAGATGTCTAATAGACAGTTGGAGATATGAGACTGGAGATCAGGAAAGATGTTTGAGCTAGACAAATAGATCTAAGAATCATCTACATAGAGATAAACTTTGAACCCATGGGAGCTGATGAGATCAACAAGTGAAATAGTATAGAAGGAGCAAAGAATAGGATCCAAGACAGAGCCCTGTGGAACACCCACATTCAGTGGGCATGACCTGGATAAAGGAGCAGCCTGATAGGCTAAAGGAGAGCCATCATAGAACAGTGTCATGGAAATCTAGAGAGAAGAGTATATCAAGGAGAAGCGATTGACAGTGTCAAAGGCTACAGAGAGGGTGAGATCAAGAAGGATGAGGATTGAAAAAAGGCCATTCATTTGGGCAATTAAGAAATCATCAGTCATTTTGGAGAGAGCCACTTCAGGGGAATAAGGTCAGAAGCCAAATTGTAGAGAGTTAAAAAGAGAGTGAGAGGAAAGTAAGTGGTCGGTTCAGTCATTTCAGACTCTTCGTGACCCCATTTTGGAGTATTCTTGGCAAAAATACAGGAGTGGTTTGCCATTTCCTTCTTCAGTTCATTTGACAGATGAGGAAACTGAGCCAAACAGGGTAAAGTGACTTGCCCAGGGTCACACAGCTAGTAACTGCCTGAGGCCAAATTTGGACTCAGGAAGAGGAGTCTTCCTGATTCCAAGCCCGGTGCTCTATCCACTGTGCCACCTAGCTGCTCATAGTGGAAGTGGAGGCATTGATTACCGATGGCTTCAAGGAGTTTAGGCACAAAAGGGATAAGAAACATGGGACAATATCTCACGAAGATGGACATGTTGATCAAGCGGGAATTTTTTGAGGCTGAGAGAGACATGGTTGGAGGTAGTATGGAAGCAGCCATTAGACAAGGAGAGTCTGAAGATAAGTGAGAGAGCAGAGATGATGGAGAGCTATCTGCCGGAAAAGATGGGGTGGAATGGGATTGCTTCTGTGTGTGAAGAGTTCTGTCTTGCTAGTGAGTAGGGCCCCCTTAAGCTGATCTTTAAAGGAAGTAAGGATTTTAAGAAGCAGATAAAGATGGAGTGCATCCAGGCCTTTGGGACAACCTTTGCAAAATCAAAAAGATAGAAGATGGAATAACAGCAAGGAGCACTTTAAGGAGAATAATGTGTATTAAAACTTGAACCTGGGGCTAGGTTATAAAGAACTTAATACCAAATAGAGGATTTTGTCTTTAATCCAGGGGAATAGAGAACCATTGAAGGTTTTTGAAAAGAGGAATGACGTCAGACCTGTGCTTTGGTAATATGACTTTGTCAGCTATGGTGAAGAATGTATTGGAGAGGAAAGAGACTTGAAGCAGAGGTCTATGTTATAACAGTATGGTAAAAGGTGATGAGGGCCTGAACTGGGTGGGGCTAGGAGCTGCATGATTGGAGAGGAGGGGTCAGATGTGAGAGATGCTGTGAATACAGAATCAACAGGACTTGAAAATTGATTGAATATGTGTGAGGATGACTTAGTCATCAAAGATGACCTATAGATGATGGAAGAGTAATGATGCAGATAGAAATAGTGAAATTCAGAAGAGGATGGGTTTCAGGGGAAAGCTCCTGTTTTAGACATATAGCTGATATATTTAGTTTGAGATGGTATAAAAAATCTAGTTCTAAATGTCCAATAGAGGATGTGAACCTGGAGCACACTCAGGAGAGAGATGAGATCTGGGAGTCATCTGCATAAATATCAGATGATTGATCCTATGACTTACTGAGGTCACCAAGTGAGAGAATGGAGAGAGAGAAAGGAAGAGGGCCCGAGGCAGAGCCCTGGGAGACAGCCAGGAATAGGGATTTTAATCCAAAAGGGATTAAGAAGGAGCCATCAGACAGGTAGGAAGAAAGAGTAGTAAACTCAAAAGAATAGCTGGGTGATTGACAGTGTCAAATGTCGCAGAGATGTCAAGAAGGATGAGGACTGAGAAAAGGTCAGGGATTTGTCAATTAAGAGATCATTGTCTCCATGACAGTTCTAAAGAACTCACAATGAAAAATGTTATCCCACCTACAGGCAGAACTAATGAATTCTGAATGCAGAATGAAACATTTTTTCACTTCATTTTTCTTGAGGTTCTTTGGCAACATGGCTAGTACAAGAATATATTTTGACATGACTTCACATGTAATAATGGGTATCATATTGTTTGCCTTCTCAATGGGTGGAGGATAGGCTAGAGAGAGGGAGAGAATTTGGAACTCAAAATAAAACAATTTTTAAAGGTTTAATTTTTTTTTTAAAAAAAAGAGATCACTGTTGGTCTAACAGTCAACCAGCATTCATTAAGTACTTACCACATGCCTAGCATTGTACTAAGCACTGGGGGTTCAAATACAAGCAAAAAGAAAAACAGACTCTGCTCTCAAGGTGCTTACATTCTAATGGGAGATAATGATACACAAATAAGGAAGTGTAAATTGGTAGGTAGAGAAGATACCCACTCAGAGGCATGGTGGATAAATCAGGAGAATGAGGAATGGCTCATCTAGGCCCTTCCCCAAAATGGAGATTTGGGGAAGAACTCACCAATGGCAGAAGGCGCCAACAGGAGCAGAGCAAGGAGGCAGCTCAGGTATTTGATTACTTTGGAGAGAACAATTTCATTTGAGAGCTTCTTGTGTTTCTCCAACTTCCTCATATTTATAATTTCTCACATTTCATTATATTCATATTTGAATGGCTGAACCTCATGTTTTCAGTCACTTCCCAGTTTTTGGACACTCCACTTACCTTCCAACTTCATGCTCCCAAAGAAGGCATTGCAATGCATATTTTGGAATATATGGTGACCTTTATTTTTATCTTTGACATCCTTGAGGTTTATGTCCAACAAGTGGGTTTAGGGGTCAAAGATATCAATAAGTTAGTCACTTTTCTCATATAATTCCATTTCCCCCCCAGAATGGTTAAACCAAGTCACAGCTCAACTAGTAGTTTATTTGTATTCCTGTCTCAGCACAATCCTTCCAACAATGACTATTTCCAAGTTTGATCATCTTCTCCAATTCCAATCTCTGATTTCTACAGTATTTTTCTATTCTCAGTCTTGCCCTCCCAAATCCCCAACGCCTTTTGTAGTCTCTTCACTATTCAAATCTGTCCTCAGATCTTGAGAATCTTACTTTATTTCTCTGAACCTCTCCTTTATCATGTTTAAAATGAAGACAATAACTTAACAGGTTTGGTGTGAGAATCAAATGAGGGGATAGTACTATATAAATGTCCACTATAATTAATAAAATAAAACGTTTCAGTTCAATTTCTCCTAACCATAATAATGATGTTACACAAGTCTAGAATGCTTTTTATTACTTATAATTGTTCTGAAAATAGATTTTAAAAAATTCATCCTCAGGAATGTTGTTGTTATCCACTCGTATCGGTCATTTCCAACTCTTCCTTTGGGGCTTTCTTGGCAAAGATATTGGAGTGGTTTGCATTTTCTTCTCCAGCTAATTTTGCAGATGAGGAAACTGAAGCAAATAGGGTTAAGTGACTTGTCCGTGGTCAAACAGCTAGTAAGTTGAGTCATCCTGACTTCAGACCCGGCACTCTATTCATTGTGCTACCTCATCCTCAGGAAAGCATTTGGTAAATCTAACTGGTAGAGGCATCATGATGCAAAGAATAGACTGAACTTGGAGTCATAGAGAACCTACGTCACCATGGCATCTCTCCCACTTACTACCTGTGAGTGGGGCAAGTCACTTGGCCTAGTTGGGTCTTAGTTTCCTTATCTATAAAATTGGAGGAGTGGAATAGAAGGTCTTTAAGATCTCTTTCAGCTCGAGACCTATTAACCTATGATCAATAACTGGTAAAGATTAATGTAATGCATCTCCCACAGACATTTGCATTTTAATGGGAGATAAAGTATCTACTTGGCTTAAGGCAAAGAAACAAGGTCCATTTGGGGAATTTCAGGCTTCACTGGGCGTAGAACTAGAAGCAACCTGATTTTACTTCCTCATTTTACAGCTCAGCAAACTGAGGCCTGAGTGAGTGACTTTCCCAAGATCACGTAGGCAATAAGAGTAACGAGCTTAGGTCAGAAAGCCAGGTGGGGAGTTGCATGTTGTTGATTTGGTTTGGTTGGGAAAGCAGGGCGTAGGGCCTTCACGGACCCCTGAAATCACCCTGTGTGAGTGGCCACTGTTCCACTTATTTGCAAGGCCAAGTCAGACCAGGAAATGTCAATAAATCATTCTGGTTCCTGTTCTATATCTGGAAGGACAGAGTCAAGTCCTCTTATACCTCTCTCATTCAGGAGATTAAGTCCTTTGGGATCAGAGGCAGCGATTTAATGGAGTGGGGTTTTTCCCGTTCATAGAATATTTTCATTAGCTTCAAGTAACCACCTGGCACATCTTATCCTTGCTCCCTCTCAGCTGTTTCTGGGAAAGCAGAAGTCAAGGTAATATCAGGCCTGAATCTTTCAAAGCTTTCTTGGAATAGATTGCTGGCGTATAATGGACAAGACACTAAAACCCTTCTCATCCCCCAATTTCCTCGTGTTAAATGCAGGTAACAGTGGCTATCAAACCTACAACAATTGTTGTAAGGCTTAAAATGAGATGCACTTTGCAAACTTTCAAGCAATACATTTCTGTCAGGTATTAAAACATTTATTGTCTCAGGGAGAGGAAAGATGGAGGGAGAGAGAAAATCTGGAACTAAAAAATTTTTTAAATGAATGATAAAATTGTTTTTTAACTAACTGAGGGAACTGAGGGAAATGTAAAATCTTTTAAAAAAACTTTTATTTGTTAAATTAATGGTGTTATATTAAAATGTGTAGTAAAAATAATAAAATATCTCAGACTCTAGCCCTGAAGAATCTCTCTCAATATAGGAGAGTAATACAGTGGAAAGAACACTGAACTTGGAATCATAGGACCTACTTCTGATCTCCGTGATCTTTGGCGAGTTATTTCCCACTCTGGAACCTCAGTTTCCTCATTCGTAAAAGTGAGGGATTGTGCTAGATGATCTCTAAGTCTATGATGCTTTGGTCAGGATAATCCATTCCCCTCCTAAAGCACTTGACTGATACACTCACCCCATCATCTTGCCTAGAACTTCCCTGCCTATTCTCAATCTTACTCCATCGTTAATTCCCTACTTCCTTAGAACCACCCTGGCTGGCCAGTTAAGGATCCCTATTCCCTCTTTTCCCCCTCACAACTACCTCCCCATCTCACTATCATTTATGGATCCCATAGAGTGTCCCTCCTTTTTTCTGCTATCTACTTAACATTTCATAGTCTCGCTCCTTTTTTCCCTATACTGCACCCCCAAACCCAATCCCCCTCAGCTACTGACAGAGCAAATACTAGAACCCAGTTAGTAGGATCATAGGATTTAAAAATGAAAGAGAAGATTTTAAATATTAACTAGTCCAACTTTCTTATTTTATAGAATGACCAACTAGTCAATCAACAATATTCATTAAATACTGTTTATTGAACAAGGCACTGGAGGTATAAATAGCAAAACAGTTCCTGCTATGAAGGAACATACACTCTATTAAGGGGAAGTGGGGAAGATACAGCACACAGACAAATAAAGAAATCTATGGCAATTTTGAGGTCGGAGAAAATGATAACTGGAGGGATGATACCTGGGCTGAGTCTTGAAGGAAGTTAGGGATTCTAAGGAACAATGATGAGAAGGGAGTTTATTCCAGGCATGGAAGATGATGTGTGCAAAGGTGTAGGAACTAAGATGGTATGTGAAGTTTGGGGAATAATTGGTAGTCCAATTTGGCTGGAAAGTAGAATGACTACAGAAAAATGATATAAAATACATCTGGAAAGGTAAGCTAGAAGCAGACTGTGAATCACTTTGAATACCAGGATGAGGGATTTG